TCCATGTGCATTTCGACTGCGCAGGCTCGCACAAAACGATGTCCCCGGGTAAATTTCCCTACATAATGGCTCTTGTGAAATGTCCATGCGCATGTCGCATGCGCAGGCTCGCACAAAGTGTGCTTCCCGGTCTTGGGATCGGTCTTCCTCCTCAACATCATCCTCCTCAACCTCATCATCTTCCTCCTCCTCCGCATCAACCTCATCATCTTCTTGTCATCATCTTCCTCTCATCTTCCTCTCATCTTCCTCTCATCATCAGCATCATCATCATCACCATCATCATCATCACCATCACCATCACTATCATCATCATCATCATCAACAACATCATCATCAGCATCATCAACATCATCACCATCATCATCATCATCATCATCATCTTCGCCATCATCATCATCACCATCATCATCATCATCCTCATCATCATCACCACCATCATCATCATCAACATCACCATCATCATCAACATCCTCTTCAGCATTAGTTAAGTTAACATCATCATCAACATTCCAACCCATCGTCTTTTTACTCCCCCGCGCTGTTTGGAGTCTCTTGCCGGGACGATGTTTGAAGCCAAAAAAAATGATGTGGTGGTATATCCCCAGCCATTGGTGTACCCAAAAGCCGGTCAGCGCCTCGCTTAGGCCTACGTTTTGGCTCGCTTAGGGCTACGTTGGAGATACATGGCTACAGTATCAATAGAAAGATTTCAACAAGATAAACCCTAAAGGTGTGTAACCAAGGGAGTCGAATGTATTTCATGTCGTGGCTCTTGCCTCCAGCTCCTGTCCCCGGTCCCCTGTCCCCCAAGCCCCTGTCCCCCCCTAGGGATCAACCCTAAAGGTGTGTATCCAATGGTGTTTGATGTCGTGTCTCTTATCTTTTGTTGTTCCCACTGTCCCCCGTCCCCTGTCCCCCCCTAAAGATTATTCTAAAGGTGTGTATCCAATGGAGTCCAATGTGTTTGATGTCGTGTCTGTTACCTCTAGTAGTTCCAATTGTCCCCTTTCCCCGGTCCCTTGTCCCCCCTAAGGGTTAACCCTAAAGGTGTGTATCCAATGGAGTTAACCTTAAAGGTAGAACTCCACATCCCAAGTGATCCTTTGACCCCAAAAGCCACTGCAAATATACCATCTATGCGTATTTAGATACATTTAGGATCATTTGGCTGGAGTTTTGAGTCCCAAATTTCGGATCATTGCGCAAAGGAAACCACGGGGATTACAATCCATTTAGCACATTCTTTTTTGCCGCTCCATCCAATGTTTTTTGTTCCTGGCCGATTCCTGGCCACCACTGTGTAGATGGCAGGCCTTAGATCACATGCACCGGAATGGCATTTTCCATCGTGATGTGAAGCAGCTTGGCGCTGACCAGCTCTATTGAATCTATTGGATCTATTGTAACATCATGGAATGATGGCAAATCTATGCAAATACGTAAAAGAAATCCGCAAATTTTCTGGGGTCAATAGATTCGCGTAATGGTGCTCGCTTTGGCACTGCCAAGGCCGGAGAACCTGCTGCTTCTTGACGTATGAAGCCCAGAGATTTCACCGTGAGGCCTTTAGACAAAATTTGATGGATTTTGGGCGGATGATTTTGCGACAGCCGACCCAAGCCGGCAGATTCTCAGCCAGTGATGGATTAAGAGGTAGGAATCATTTCAACTCTGGGCTTTGATAGGTTTTGATATGCCCTGGCTTTGCTTTTAGCCTTTTTTGGAGGGATGCCCACTGCAATTTTTCCGACCTGCGACGCCCTTAGAAGCATCATAGGCTGCTGGAAGTAGTAGTAGTCGTAGTAGTAGTAGTAGTAGTCGTCGTCGTCGTGGTGGTAGTAGTAGTAGTCGTCGTCGTGGTGGTATTAGTAGTAGTAGTAGTAGTAGTAGTAGTAGTAGTAGTAGTAGTAGTAGTAGTAGTAGGAGTAGGAGTAGGAGGCGTAGGCGTAGGCGTAGGCGCAGGAGTAGGTAGGAGTATAGGAGTAGTAGTAGGTAGTAGGTAGTCGGTAGTCGGTAGTCGGTAGTCGTTAGTAGGTAGTAGGTAGTAGGTAGTGGGTAAATGTGGGTAGATGTGGGTAGATGTGGGTAGTAGGTAGTAGGTAGTAGGTGGTAGTAGGTGGTAGGTAGGAGGTAGTAGGTAGGAGGTAGTAGGTAGTAGGTAGTAGGTAAGAGGTAGTAGGTAGTAGGTAGTAGGAGGTAGTAGGTAGTAGGAGGTAGTAGGTAGTAGGAGGTAGTACGTATTAGTAGGTAGTAGTAGGTAGTAGTAGGTAGTAGTAGGTAGTAGTAGGTAGTAGTAGGTAGTAGGAGGTAGTAGGAGGTAGTAGGAGGTAGTAGGAGGTAGTAGGAGGTAGTAGGAGGTAGTAGGAGGTAGTAGGTAGTAGTAGGTAGTAGTAGGTAGTAGTAGGTAGTAGTAGGTAGTAGTAGGTAGTAGTAGGTAGGAGGTGGGTAGTAGAAAGGCAGGTAGGTAGGCAGGCAGGCAGGCAGGTAGGTAGGTAGGTAGGAGGTAGGCAGGAGGTAGGTAGCTAGGTAGCTAGGTAGCTAGTAGGTAGCTAGTAGGTAGCTAGTAGGTAGCTAGTAGGTAGCTAGTAGGTAGCTAGTAGGTAGCTAGTAGGTAGCTAGTAGGTAGCTAGTAGGTAGCTAGTAGGTAGCTAGTAGGTAGCCAGTAGGTAGCTAGTAGGTAGCTAGTAGGTAGCTAGTAGGTAGCTAGTAGGTAGCTAGTAGGTAGCTAGTAGGTAGCTAGTAGGTAGCTAGTAGGTAGTGAGTAGGTAGGTAGTAGGTAGGTAGTAGGTAGGTAGTAGGGAGGTAGGTAGGTAGGAAGGAAGGTAGGTAGGTAGTAGTAGGTAGTAGTAGGTAGTAGTAGGTAGTAGTAGGTAGTAGTAGGTAGTAGTAGGGAGTAGTAGGTAGTAGGTAGCAAGTAGCAGGTAGCAGGTAGGAGGTAGGAGGTAGCAGGTAGCAGGTAGCAGGTAGTAGGTAGTAGGTAGTAGGTAGGTAGTAGGTAGTAGGCAGCAGGCAGGGTGGTAGTAGGCAGTAGTTAGTAGTTAGTGGTGGTGGTGGTGGTAGTAGTAGTAGGAGGTAGTAGGAGGTAGTAGGAGGTAGTAGGAGGTAGTAGGAGATAGTAGGAGGTAGTAGGAGGTAGTAGGAGGCAGTAGGAGGTAGTAGGAGGTAGTAGGGGGTAGTAGGAGGTAGTAGGAGGTAGTAGGAGGTAGTAGGGGGTAGTAGGAGGTAGTAGGAGGTAGTAGGAGGTAGTAGGAGGTAGTAGGAGGTAGTAGGAGGTAGTAGGGGGTAGTAGGGGGTAGTAGGGGGTAGTAGGAGGTAGTAGGAGGTAGTAGGAGGTAGTAGGAGGTAGTAGGAGGTAGTAGGAGGTAGTAGGAGGTAGTAGGAGGTAGTAGGAGGTAGTAGGTAGTAGGAGGTAGTAGGAGGTAGTAGGAGGTAGTAGGAGGTAGTAGGAGGTAGTAGGAGGTAGTAGGAGGTAGTAGGAGGTAGTAGGAGGTAGTGGTAGTAGTAGTAGTAGTAGCAGCAGTAGTAGTAGTAGTAGGAGGGGGGGATAGTAGATAGTAGTAGAGGTGGTAGTTTTGGTAGTAGTAGTAGTAGGAGTAAAGTAGTAGTAGTAGTAGTAGGAGAGTAGGAGTAGGAGTAGGAGTAGGAGTCGGAGTAGGAGTACTAGGAGTAGGAGTAGTAGTAGTAGTAGTAGTGGTAGTAGTGGTAGTAGTGGTAGTAGTGGTAGTAGTGGTAGTAGTGGTAGTAGTGGTAGTAGTGGTAGTAGTGGTAGTAGTGGTAGTAGTGATAGTAGTGGTAGTAGTGGTAGTGGTGGTAGTGGTGGTAGTGGTGGTAGTGGTAGTAGTGGTAGTAGTGTAGTAGTGGTAGTGGTGGTGGTGGTTAGTAGTAGTAGCAGTAGAGTAGTAGAGTAGTAGTAGTAGTAGTATGTGTAGGAGTAGAAGTAGGGTGGTTGTTGTTGTTGTTGTTGCTGCTGCTGTTGTTGTTGTTGCTGTTGTTGTTGTTGTTGTTTGTTTTTTTACCGTTTTGGTCGTATTTGTCGTATCCGTCGTATCCGTCGTTGTCGTCGTCGTCGTCATGTGATGTCCCTGGAAGTCCCCGATTTCGATTTTACTGGTTTCAGAATGTTTCAGACTGTTAAGAGTTGTGCGGGATGTGCTAGTTGAATCTTCGCATATAGACATGACGCTGCCGAAGTCAATTTGAGGGTTGGTAGGTCAAGAGACCATCCTCTCTTATAATTTAGAATCCTTTTATAGAAATGCAGTGACAATAGTGACACAACAACCATTCACTATTCACAGATACAGATGGAATATGATGGAATTGGGTGTGGTGTCAAAGTTGCCCCGAGGATGAGATCAAGTTGGCAGACCTTGGCAGCTGTCGTGGGATTTACTCCCGCCAGCCGTGGGGGAGCCTGAAACATATGGGACACATTGGGACACCATTATGATCATTATAGATCATAATATAGATCATAATATAATATATGTGTTTACAGATCATTAGTATGATAAGAAAAATACACATTCACATATTGATCATTATGAATACGGACTAATATAGACAGATGTGAAACATACGTGAAACATAATACTTGAAACCACAGACTGCACTGGCGGAGTGACTCTGTAGCACTACCGAATCTTAGTACTGATCCAAGTTTTGGAGATGAGATTACATGGAGATACAATGTTTGTCAAACCCAATATAGATCGAATTGTCGTTGGGCAGAGACGAATGCACAAAAGGTTGGGAAATTGTATGAGACTGTGCGTTTCTCCATTCTTAGATTCTTGTCTCACCTGGATGATTCAGCTGAGGTTTACTGAATACATCTCAACCAGGTGGATTTGCAGCCTGGAAATGTCAAGACTTGACCTTCTTGGTGGCCTTGTTTCAGTTTGAAGTGAGTAAATGTGGCTCAAACCTAGCAACTGGAATGTCTCTCCGTCATTATCAGCAGCGTGTGGTTCATGCATGACATGACCGCGGCACAGGTGGTATCGAGCTCCCGAGTGCTTGTTGACCGTGGCTCAACCGCAGTGATGGGAAGTATTGACCACGGTGTGCGACTGACATCAGCGCGGATGATTGATATGATCGATTTCTACCAATTCCTGGCCTTCATCATTCATTGTGCCTATGCTTTTCTTGGATTTTCTTGGGGTATGGTGAGGGTAGGGGCACAAGATGCCAAGTCATCAGTGGTCACTGGTCCCAGGATGGCTATTACAACTTCAAGATGGACCTTTTCGCTGCTGGATGCCTCTGCCTCGGCGGAGCCTTATCGAGTTTCTTTATTTTCTTTGGGTTGGGAATTGGTTGGGGTATGTTGTGCAACCCATTCTGAATGGATTTTGAATCAACTGAACCCATTTTACATCATTTTACCATATTTTCCCCCCGGACTCTTCGAATCCGAGGTGTTTGCTTTGAAATCGTGGCTCTCTTTCCACTCTTTCCTGGCCAGAATGAGATGGCCACAGTCTCAGCGGTATACTCCGTACTTGGCTTTAAGCTAATTGAAGCTACCGACCCGGGATATCCACAATCCATTCCCATAAGGCAAACATTCTGAACGTTGGCTAAACAGAGTTTCGAAGTATTATTGTTTCTGCCCGCAACCTTTCTGCCCATGTTTTGACATGGCTCGACACGCTGAGGACCAGATTCAGAAAATCCACAATGTTATGATCTGAGACTCCAACAACAGTCGGAATGAACACGGCGACCGTACATCCGACATCCAGTGGCATATCGTGACACACGCACATTTGCTTGCTATGGTTTGCGCCAGTCAGAATCATTTCTTGTTTAGATATCTATTGATAGCAATTCACATCCCAATGTTCAATGGCCATCAAGGCAACTTCTTCCAATAATGAGCACCAAATGTTGTAGCGGGGACGGGGAAGGAAGGAAAGACCAAAAAAAGTTTTGAAGGATCCAGAAGTAAAACAAAGTTGTGTGTGACAAAGTTGTATGTGAAAGATGGTGTGTGACAAAGAAAGATGGTTTGTGTGACCAAGTTTTGTGTGAAAGATGGTGTGTGTGAAAGTTGTGTTTGAAAGAGAGAGAGAGTTTGACAAAGTTGTGTGTGAAAGATGGTGTGTGACAAAGTGGTGTGTGAAAGATGGTGTGGCGAAAGATCGTGTGTGACAAAGTTGTGTGTGAAAGATGGTGTGGTGAAAGATGGTGTGCGACAAAGTTGTGTGTGAAAGATGGTGTGGTGAAAGATGGCGTGTGACAAAGTGGTGTGTGAAGGATGGTGTGGTGAAAGATGGTGTGAGACAAAGTGGTGTGTGAAAGATGGTGTGTGACAAAGTAGCGTGTGAAGGATGATGTGGTGAAAGATGGTCTGTGATGGTGTGTGAAAGATGGTGTGTGAAAGATGGTCTGTGATGGTGTGTGAAAGATGGTGTGTCAAAGATGGAGGGTGACAAAGTGGTGTCTGAAAGATGGTGTGTGAAAGATGGTGTGTGACAAAGTTGAGGGTCAAAGATGGTGTGTGACAAAATTGTGTGTGAAAGATGGTGTGTCAAAAGATGGTGGGCGACAAAGTGGTGTGAGAAAGATGGTGTGTCAAAGTGGTGTGTGACAAAGTGGTGTGAAAGAGGATGTGTCAAAGATGGTGGGTGAGAAAGTGGTGTGTGAAAGATGGTGTGTGAAAGATGGTGTGTGACAAAGTTGAGGGTCAAAGATGGTGTGTGACAATGTTGTGAGTGAAAGATGGTGTGTCAAAGATGGTGGGTGACAAAGTGGTGTGTGAAAGATGGTGTGTCAAAGATTGTGCGTGACAAAGTTGAGTGTGAAAGATGGTGTGTGAAAGATGGTGGGTGACAAAGATGGTGTGTGAAAGAGGGTGTGTGTGGAAGATAGTGTGTGACAAAGTGGTGTGTGAAAGATGTTGTGGCGAAAGATGGAGTGACAAAGTTGTGTGTGAAAGATGGTGTGTCAAAGATGGCGTGTGACAAAGTTGGGTGTGAAAGATGTTGTGTGAAAGATTGTGTGTGAAAGATGGTGTGTGACAAAGACGGTGTGTGAAAAATGGTGTGTGAAAGATGGTGTGTGTGACAAAGATGGTGTGTGAAAGATGGTGTGTGACAAAGATGGTGTGTGAAAGATAGTGTGTGAAAGATGGTGTGTGACAAAGTTGTGCGTGAAAGATGGTGTGGCAAAGATGGTGGGTGACAAAGTGGTGTGTGAAAGATTGTGTGTGAAGGATGGTGTGTGACAAAGATGGTGTGCGAAAGAGTCTTGAAAGAGGATGTGTCAAAGATGGTGTGTGTGAAAGATGGTGTGTGACAAAGTGGTGTGTGAAAGATGTTTTGTGAAAGATGGTGTGTGACACCAGAGCCAACCCAGTGCCATAAGTGCCACGCCTGCCATGCAAAACGAAGGTGGATGTCTCCAAGTGCCACGCCCGCCACGCGAAACGAAGGCAAATGTCGCCAAGTGCCACGCCTGCCACGCAAAGTGCCGCGGCGTCACCGGCAAGTAATCCAGTCCAAGCGCGCCACCAGAACCAGCCCAGTGCCATAAGTGCCACGCCCGCCACGCAAAACGAAGGTGGATGTCTCCAAGTGCCACGCCTGCGACGCGAAACCAAGGCACATATCAAAGATGTGTGTGAAAGATGGTGGTTGACAAAGATGTGTGTGACAAATGGTTGTGTGTGAAAGATGGTGTGTGACAAGACAGAGTTGGAGGTCGACAAAGATGTGGGCTGACAAAGATGTGCGTGAAAGATATGCGTGTGAAAGATGGTGGTTGACAAAGATGTGTGTGAAAGATTGTGTGTGAAAGATGGTGGTTGACAAAGATGTGTGGGAGGAGGCGGCGGAGGAGGAGGCGGAGGAGCGGCGGGATACAGAATCAAAAACAAGAACCCCACACAAAGATGTGGGGGAAAAAAATAGATCCAGTGAACATCCTGTTTACGTCTCAAATAGATATACTTGAAATTGCATAACATATGTCAGCATCTCATTAAACATCCTATAAAAACATGTCAGCATCCCATTAGACATCCTATGTTTTGACAGCTGGGCGATCTCGAGATCTTGAGGTGTTGGGGACTCCAGCAGCAGAGCTGCTGGCCCGCAAGTTTCGGCGGAACGCTGGAGAGCCCAGGGTTTGTTGGTTTTGGGGAAAAAAATGTTCAAAGCGAAACAGAACTTGGCAAAAATGTCATTGACAACATGATCATTATACCGATTATACCATATTATACCATATTATACCTCTGTTTGGAGATGGAATAGCTGCGCAGCAGGGTTCAGAGGATTGATACTTTTGTTTTTCATGTTTTTCTGTTTGACGTATCACACATGTTTTGGGGTTTGGTGCCGGTCATCCCGCAAGGCCTCCCACATGGATTTCAACTTCCCGGAGAAAAAGGTAGGGAATTTGCTGCAGTGCATTGCAACGGACTTCATGTGATTAACCATGGAAGACCTTTGATGTACCATGATGATCCATGATGTACCTATAAGATCCTATAGGATTTGTAACGTATGGTTAGGTGATGCTGAAATCGAAAACCAGCAGACCCCAAAAACATCCCACCACTGCCAGAATTTTTGCTGAAATCATTTCAAAACCACCGTCCTTGCTTTGGCTGTGCATGATTAGGTTCACATGCGTTTGATGTATTTGTGTGGAGGATGACGGAGATACAGACACCACTTTCAGAGATTTTGTTGACAAATGTTTTTGAATATCTTCCCTGTTGCCTTTTGACCAACCTTTTTTTTGCCTGAAGTCGCCTGAAGTGCTTTGATAAAATCTCTCATAGTCCCACAAGCCCATGACATCCCAGGACCCAGTCACGCTGATTTATACATCCAAACCCAAATGTGAAAGGCTACTTAAAAACAACTCGGCAACCTTTCCGAACTTCCGTCATATTCCAATAATTTCCAATATATTCCATACTTTCCATATGATTTCACCATCCTTTTGACATCGGAGCATCTTCCCATTGGGCCATGCCAGGGCACAGGCATCGAGAGGCTCATCCCTCATGCAGAGCCGGAACTTGTGGAGCTCATGAAGAAACTGGTCAGGCCTTGGCCTTGGGCCTCCGATGTGATTTTTCTCGAAATCCCATAATTCCGAATGGGTAATCATCATGGTAAACTAACATAGCTATGGAAAATGGCCATTTTTAATGGGAAAATCCACTATTTCTATGGCCATTTTCAATAGCTATGTTAAATTACCAGAGGATAATCATCATGTTGATTCATTTTCACATGTTCACTGTTAAATTCCAAGTTTGCTGGGGAAGCAAGTAATTTCGTTTGGTTTCAAAAGCCTGGCTCAACGGTGTCAGGTATGACCCCGATGAACGGATTCTCGCAAGACAGGCTCTCAAGGACAGGCAGTCGAAATCCAGGAATAGTGGAAGTTGGGACTGGTGCTTTGAATCGAGCTCCAACATGTTCCAACTATAAAGGACAACTGTACTCTGCATGGTATCTCAGAGTTCTCGAAGGACCCGTACTTTCGAGAACTCCGAGAAGCAGAAAAGGACCGGCGGGGCATTGTTTTTTGTCGTTTTGATGGACCAAGCACTGGAAGAAGCACAAGCACCACTCTTCTGAGAAAGCGTGGCGTATTCCCAATGAATCAAGTTGATCCAACTGTCACAACCTTGAAATCAAGGATCATGAAAGCAAGATGATGAAACAGGAAAGTCTCGAATTTGGCGCACTTTGGAACTGTGTGCCTTGGTTTAAAGGTCCAAACTTTACTGGAAATGTGTGTTCGCTAAAGGACTTGGCGTCCGCTGTTGGGCCCTCAGGGGGCGACCAATTGAGACTCCAAAATTTTCCCACGCACAAATATGTAGATAATAGGGACGTTCAAAACCAAGATTCATCAGCATGTTACCAATTGCGATGCAGAAGACAATTGACACTTCCCGACAGTCTTCAGCATCAGGCATTTGCTGGCGCGATCACAGAAGAAATCATGCGCCAGCTATATGTAGGGCAAAATATTTCGGAGTTGGTGTTGGCTTCGCTACTAAACAATCAAAACAAATATACTGAGTCTTGACGATACAAATCGATACCAGCTTCAACCTGAGGTTTGCCATTTCTTCGCATGTACCCAAAGCGGCCCAAACTGTTCACTGTTTTATTTCACAACTGGAAGGTGTTACAGGCAGATGTTGAAGACGGTACCGGTGGTATAAAATAGAGCTGTTTTCTTGTAGAAAACATTCAGGTGAAGGCGGTACCTTTAGCGTTTAGTATGCGTTTCACAGACATTGGATTAAACATGCCAGACCTTGGATCATCAAAATGGAAAGACATGCAATTAAAATGAAAGGACATGCCTACATACGTGATGCTACGTGCACAAATCATATACTTGGCGCATGACAAGATTCAGATCTGGGTGGTTGAGTTTACTCGCCATGTAGAAGAATCAGAGTGCCTGTGTTTGTGTGCGTTGTGTGCTTGACTTATATTGTAGAGAGAGATGGTAGTTCCAGAGGATTTCTACTGATGTGAAATCGATCCTTCAGGTGGCGCAGCTACAATCTGGCTCTGCTGCTGGCAGTACCAATGGTTCTCGCAGCCCTGAACTCAAGGATATTTCATGCTGGCCCATAAGTCAGATTGAAGGTCTGGGGGTGAATCTTTCCGAGCACGTTGGATTTGAGATGATTTGAGGATGTCAGGATGCGTTGTGCTAACTAGGCCAGCATCATGTACTCCAATATACTCCAATAATCTCCCGTGTACTGTAATGTTTTTTTTTTTTGTTTGGAGAAAGTTGTAGCATTGTAGCTGCATGGATCAAACAAATGTTGTTGGAAGTTCCGTGAAATTCCACTCCTGTCATTTGTTTTTACTCAAAAATCAGAAAGCCATGCGAAGTCATCGGGTCAACTCATGGAGCGTTTGCTCAGGTCGCGATCCCATGGCCAAGGTGGGAGACTGCTGTGATCCCTTGCTCCGCCTGGTACTGTGCTGAAACAGTTTTCTGATGTTTTCTGAAACATTGTCAAGAACTGATGTAAAAGGATGTAAAAGGATGTAAATTGGATTAATCAAGTACTGCTGGGTGTTGCGGGTCATCGCTGGTCATCGCTGGTCCATGGTTTAAACAAAAAGTGTTTGACCAGGCCGGCATCAGTGTAACCAGCAGCGTCAGTGCAGATCACGAGAATCCGGAGCAAACCCACGAGTCCGGAGCACAGGGTGGAATGATTGGCCTTTCTACAGCCGTATCTCAGATTGAACAAGTAACATCATGTAACATTGTTTTGTGATGTTTTGTGATGGTTTGACATCTTGACATCTCTAGAAATTCTAAAAGATCGTTCAAGTAGATTACAGAAATGATATGGGAGAGTACAATAACCCGGCACCTATTCGTTTAGTATGCCATGATCCCCCATTAGCTATATGTAGTTCTCACTCGAGAAAACGATAAGAGGAAAAACAAAAACGATAACGATGCTCATACATATACATTATATATATTGTTTATGGGACATGTTCGAAGCAGCAAGCTTTGCAGATGCAAGCTTTTCCCCGAAAAACAGATGTGAAGCTGGTGGTTGTAAGGTGATATCCCACTTGGAAAAACGATAAGAGGAAAAAAAACGATAACGCGTGGAAACACCATTTGATTGATATCGGGGTTTTTAGACAGCCCCATATATTGAAATTGATATATGCAGTATATATTTAAATTATATTATTTTATATTATTTGTATTTATTTATTTAAATGATATATTTGACATATATGGAAAAAAACAGCTGGTCATCCCAGGATCCCATAGCCTCAACGACTATCAACGACCGATCCCTGATGACTCCGTGCCAGGCCGAGTCGGACCAGCAGCCCTGGGAGTGGCCCTCAGATCTAACTGATTCTAAGTGTCGTTGATGACGTTGGAGAATGGTGAAAACAACCTGGTTCAAGATCTACAGTGCTACAGTACTGTACCTTAAAGTCTATAAAAGTCTATCAAAGTCCATGGGTCGAGAGGCAATTTCATATATTTGGAGATGTTTGGAAGTTCCAAAGAACCAATGAAGTAATGAAGTGTAATGAAGGGGCTGTTGATATTCCCAAGGCCGGAAGAGTCTCGTGGCGCTCTGCCAAGCATCAGACACGAACGTCGGAAGGCCTCAACAGGATCAGATGATGTCTCGATACGACCCATAACAAGAGCAATAATACCAATAACAATGACAATAACACGGATTATAATGATAGCAAAAAATAACACTGATGATGATAATAATCATATGTAATGATGGTAATAATGTAACTAAAATGATAATAAGAAGAATTTGTGATTTAAGCAGTGAACCCGACCAGGCCGGTGGTGTTGAGGAAGATGGACATGATGATGGCATGGTGCCTTGGTCGCAGATCATTGCCAGGTTGTCAGATTCTATAGGTGTATATTACATATTTATATATAATTATATATAATGTGTAATTACATATGATTATATATATAAATTGTATATGATATTATATTATATTATATATGTATATATCGTAAGTAGCTATAATATAAGGTATAGATATAGATTGCCTGTGGATGCTTGTAGCAGTCTTCGGCCAAGAGACGTTTCAGGAACATTGAGAAAAGCATAATCTTGATTGGGGAATTCTGTTCTCAAATAGTCGTCTCAAGAGTGTTTCGACTCAGCCGTTGTTTGACGAAACGTGAGTCTGATGATTCTGATGGAGGTTCTTCCTCCAATTGGTGGTCTGAAGGGCAAGCGTGACAGCAAGATGAAAACGACCTTTAAAACTGCGGCCAATGTCCTGCACTTAGATCATCTTGGATCTGGTTTGAAACAGCCACGAGGCCTTTAATGGTTAAATGGATTTGACCGAGGGAATTGGACATCATGACATCATGCAGAATCGCAGAATCTTCATAAATCAAAACAAAAAAAATCCTGATATCGCTAGAAGGAATCGATTCAATCGATCAGAGATGACCAGAGGGACAGCCCCAGATGGATTTCCCATGGGACCCTCAGCTTGGAGTTCCCATGGACTTCCCATAGGCTTCGCTGCAAAAACCCATGTGCGGGGTCTTAGCTGGCCGCCTACAATGCTGGGGTTGGAGCTTGTCTTGTCCAATGATGTTTTATTGCAATATGATATATATATATGTAATTACTGTAGATATATGTGGAAACTACAAGAAGCTGGATTTGACTTTGGGAACTGTACCCGGAAATTGCTCAGAAATGATGAAGATTGCCAACAATTCATAAAATTTCGAGCAAGTCTCAGGAATTGGACACTCTCAATAGGTTATGATATCTGAGAATGTTAAGAATGACAACTACGGTTTCCTAAACTTCCAAGACAAACAATCAAAATCTTCGAACATGTACAAGTAAGTATTGCACTAGGGTCTTCAATTTTGACACGTTCCTAGGGTGACGTGCAAATTAAAAGTAGGGTCAATACGCTATGATTCGCTGAGCTATGAATGGATCCAGTGGAAGAATTTACCAGTCTCAGGTCATCCTATTCGATCCAGGTGATCCTCAAACTCTTCATAATGTCAAGATATCACAAGTTAGATTGTTCATTCTGGGACAGATATTACAGATATTAGGACCGACTTGATGTTCAGTTCCAATGATGACTTGGATTATTGATTCTTTATTTGGGATATATATATATATAATATAAATATTCCATATATTTCCATATTATATACATACATATTCCATATATTTTCCATAAACTATCCAAAAATCCAACGATTCAAACATCAGGGTTGATAGCAGCGATGCCAGGCATGGCACCACGGTCCATGGCTCCATGGCGCCAGCGCCGGGGAGCCTTTAAAGAACACGGTGTGGCATGGTGTGTTTGAAAATGGCTTATATTATATTATATTATATTATACTATATTATATTATATATTAATGTTATATGTTATATATTATATATTATATATTATAGATTATATATTATACATATATATATATATATTATAACACTCCAAAATAGTCCAAAACAAATCAAAATTGTAGCCATTGTTATGCATTATCACACATTTTGACTGGGAAAATGATGATCTAGTAGATGGCATTTTGGTGTAATGACCATTCTTGGAACGAACCTGAATGGGGACATGACCAAATGAACCAAGATGAACTGTGCAACTATATCTCTGAATCGATCTTTCGGCAAAGAATCTCTGGCATTGGAACTTCAACAGCAATGGGGCCGCCAAAGAGTGGAGGAACGGTCCTGGAAGTCAGTGGATTTCCGGCTTGCTGTCGGAGTTCAAGCTTCCCACTGACTCACCATTTGGTTACATACATCATGTTGCATCATGTTACATCTATTGTAATTATCTAAATTTGATCTATATTTGATCTATATTTGTATTCTATATGTGTATTCTATTTTTATCTATGTATTTTATGTGTATTTGTGCATCCATACCCAACCTCTTCATGCTTGCCTTCTCAGAAATTTCCGAGGCACAGCGAGAAGTCTGGGCTTGGTGTCCTGACCTCCAAGGGGTCAGCGACCTATGAAGGTACCATGTTTTTGGCCAATCAGTTGGTTCATTTTCGTCCCACTTTGCCCATTGGTTCCTGTGTAAGGTCATTTGGATCATTCTGGTCTCACTTTGCCCAATGATCTTCAATTATTTGTCAGAGTTGCAACGTCTGGAACTACAGTCACAAGTTGCCTCACACATCAGAAATCCTCGATTGAAGTCAATTCCTCGGTCCCCTGCCCTGAACTGCCAAGGAAATCTCAGGAGTTCACTTATTACTTGTTCACTTACGGTAATACGTTGTAGACCCCGCTTATCCAAAGACACGTATAAACACTAGTACCATTGCCTGCCTGCTGGCACATCATCATCATCATCATCATCATCATCATCATCATCACACCTGATGATATAATGCCAGGCAGCGCTGCGCCTAGTTGGTTATTGCTCCGTTCCTGAAACACTTTTCTGGATCAAATTGGACCTGAATGTGTCACATGGTTTCACGATCATGTCATTCCAGTTTGCTCTCGGATGGTGCTGACTCCAAGGTTCAGTGGGACAGTGCGCAGCACTGGAGGAGCGAATGCAGTCTCCGGGGTATCTCAAGACAGTCCAGGAAAGCATGATGTTCACAGGTGTCCTTAGGTCACTTCGGAGGCACGAACCAGTCTACAAGATGTCTAAATGTGCATCTAAGATCATGTGTGATCACAGAGAAGCAAAATGTTGCCAATGAATACCAATGATCAAAATGATATTAACTTCAATTATGTTAATAGTTGTATATAATTTATATAATAGGTATTGTATTGTCTATTGATAGTGATCAAATGTCATGATGTTCCGTGATGTGGCAGGAACAAACACGCAAATGAGTATGTCCTCTGCGGCAGCGGCCTTATTTTGACCATGATTTCCTGGTCCAGTTGATCCTGGAGCCAAATGGTTCAGAGATGTTCCGGGCATTGTTTAAACTTGTTTAAGACATTTTGTGAGAGTTTATCAACAATTTATACACAATCTTACGACTCCTCAAGATGGGAATCATGAAGATGGGAATCATGAGGTTCTGCAAGGAGAATATATGAGGACCCAAGATGGGAATCAAAGCCTGTTACACTTTATTATACCATACATAATCATACATACAAACATGTCTATAATATATATATAATTATATATAATTATATATGTGTGTTATATTTATCCATGTTCATCCATATTTATCAATGGATGAAGATCCATAAATCCCAGTGTCCACCAAGGAGATGTCCTCAACCAACCCACACAGCTGGACCACCAGCGAGCACGGCGCGGGTGTGCTTTGCCGAGATACGGCAGAGGTTCATGGCAGTTGCTGGGAACAGAGTGGGAACAGATGGTACTCTTGGTACTGGTATGTAATAGATTGTAATTTCATAGTTGGACATGAGATATATGATTATGATATATTATGATATGATTATGATTATTTGAGATTCTAGATAAATTATGATCGTTGGTGATGGAGGAGGAGCCATTGTTCTGTTTCTTTCGGGATGTTGCCAATGCAATCGGCATGATTTGGAGAGGAATAGCATGGAGTTCCCACAACAGGCTGAGATTGGACATACTTTAGTCGAGTGTTTGGAACATATTCCACTGATGGGACTGTGAACTTTCCAATTGTGGGTCCAGTGGAATCAGTTCCCTACCCCCGTGTCTGCTCAAGGCGGTGAAAAAAAAGGTTTAAGTGACCTTGAACAGCAGGGGGCAGGGAGAATTTCAGAGTTTGAGATATCATCCACAACGTCGGAAAGAAGCTGCTGGTGAAAGATGTTTGCTGGCTATGTTTACATGTATACTCTATCACAGTATTGGCTTCCACAGTGTATTCTCGATGTTGTCTCTAGTGTATTTAGCGTTGTACTAAACTGAGGTGAGCACTGGGTTTATGCCTTAGCCTGCAGTCTCTTGCATGTTCGGTGGCTACCGCTGGAATCCGACGACCAAAAAAGTAGTGCAAGATGGTGCAAGGTTTGCTCATATGCTTTACCGTTTTTTTGCACGTCCTTGGTTGTCCGCTGTGTCAGAGCCATTGGAAATTGTTGCCATTGGAAATCATTGCAAGACTATTCTTCTTTCGATCCACCTTTATGATGTTTCTGATGAGCGCTGCTCCCTTTGCAGTTGCCCGGTTTTTGGACACCCAGGCCCGGACCAGCCACAGACAAGATGAATTCTACCTGGGCGCCCAATTCACAGCGGAGGCGCTGTCACGTCCTGCGATGCATGCGCAGGGGGTTCATGGGGGTTCAATTTCACTGTGGTAACACAAGGTACAGCACTGGCATACTTCATACAAAGAATCGCAAGCCATGTCAAAACATCCTTGAGATATTTTGAGATACTGCATTGATATATATTGATGACCCCAAGTCTTGCAGCCATGGCCACGCCATGGCCCATAGCGGAGAAAATGAAGCTCTCCTAACAAGCTGGTATTGTCTTCGAAAAGGGGTCCAGTCTCGCTGTGGCTTGGGGGTTGAAGTTCGCCTGAAAGCTGGCACATGCCAGGTATGTCTCTCCCTTTGGCGCGAAGATGGCGCTAGGGAAGAAACGTTAGGCCAGGTGTCTGTTTTTTTTTTCCGAAAGAATTGCCTGTTGGTTTCAAAGATGTTGTGCGATGACCTCAATAATAGGGCTACTTCTTGGGCATAGCTAGATTGAAACCAACATCCACCGACATCCACCGACATCCACCGACCACTTTGCCGTTTTGAAGATTTGTTCATTATGACGTTGACTGATCTATGATGTTGGTACTCGTAATGTTGGTGTGGGCCCAAATAAAACACGACTCTAACTTGTTCACGCTCTGGACGTTCACCAAGATCACCAAGGTAGCGGAGCCAAAAAATGTTTTGACTGATAGCTCGTGCCACCATTTGCCACCCTCAACCCAGCTTGACCACTCCCATAACTTGCTCAGACGCCTGCGGTGTGACAAAACCCCCGTGGTGGCCTTGGGGAGTTTGGAGTTTCTGCACCATACCTGCCATACCCGCCATAGCCGCCATACCGCATAGAAACGACACTTGGCCCAATCACTTGGCTGCTTGACCCCGGCAGCTAGCCGAGTCAAGGTGCAGACAAGACAAACTCCATTGATCTCCATTGAAAGCCTCCCGCTGAGGTTTGGTTTTGCACAACTGGCGGCAGAGATGTGACTTCCGGATATTGTGTAATATCTTAAATTCAAGACGCGGGCAGCTTCGACCGAAGGTCTTTTGGCTGACGCAATTCGTCTTGCACAGGCTCAGGCTTCAGAATTCACTCTTTGATTATCTTTGACTGAATAATTTGATAGACACTTTGATGTCACATCTCTTCAAGGGAAGACAATGGACTCACATGATTACTGCTACCTGAAGTCTTTTGAGCATACTTTGATGTTCGTTGACGTATTGGATGTTGACAATCCGGCGTATCCTGTTGAATTGGTTCAGCTTGGTGGATTCTGCTAGATTGTGTCATTTAGAAGTCCTGCTTCAAGAATGGTGACGAAATCAAAGCAGTTTGGCCATGTTTGGTCCACGCCTAGGAAGGAATTGATCGACTCATGAGTACTTGAATCAGGTTGATTTCTTCAGAGACTCCCAGATGGGTAAAGGTTTTTCCTTGTAGATCTTATAATATATCGCTAAATATACTTATTTTTGAAGAGCCAGTGAGATGGAAATTAAAGTTTTGCATGTCATCCTATTTGTTCGAATATTGATTTCCAATCAAATCAATTCCGTGGTTTTAGATGGTCTAGCAAGAATCCAATCATCAACTTCTTCGTTGGCTTATGTTAGTGTTCAAAACAAGTCAGTTTGCGCAGAATTCTATACAGGTTGCAATACAAAGATATGATGAGGCAAAAGGTGCTCATCCCCTACAGATTTCCCTGAAAGTGGAGCATGCCATAGAAACGGCTGGATGGAGCCTGATAGATGTGTGCCGATTTCACCCCGTCCAAATCGCTCTCCTAGCGACTCGAAGTCGGTCAACGGGGAAAAGAGTGTTTCAGCCCTCTGACAGGTGCATCATTTCTACTTCAGTCTTGCAGGATCTTGCAGGCATTTATGTATCATCCATGTTTATTTACTGAGACAATGCAGTTTTGTTTTTTAATCTAGACTATTTCACTATGATTAATATTTGCAGTGTGTGTGTGTGTTTGAGACTGCGCATCTTCGCTGATCTTGATTCTGAGAAAAAAAATGCAGTAGAATGAAGAAAAGAAGGGCGGCAATGATTACAGCAGTAGCATTACAACAGCGCAACACCACCAACATCCATCAACGGAAAAGACGAGGTGAAACGGCAAGTACAAGCATCATACGTTGCACTGGTAAAGATCCACCAATCTGTCCTTGAACCCTTTGATTTTGTTTGATCTTTTTACTGTATAGTTTGCGGATGTTTGCGGTTCCCCTTACAAGAACATAATGTAGAACTGCCAATCACTAAGCTAACTAAGCTTGACTTTCAGCGAAGGCTTGCAAAGCGGACGCACGAACTGCCTCACAATGGCGCGCAGTCTGTGCACGCAAGACTTCAAACGTGCAATGCAACGGTGTCATACATACGGTATCATACGGTGTCCCGTTTAGAAAAATCTTATACCGTTATACCATGTTCTACTAACTTATTGGACCCATTGGACCATAGAGATGTTCAGGCGACGGTGGGGTCACGTAGCACCACCTATTTTTTTGTGGATGTGTATCCTGAGACGAAAAATCTTGCGTTCTTCTCTTGCACTTTGACAAGTCAATATGACACCCAAAGCAACTGCACTGGGTGTTGCGCGTTATTGTGTCCAATCTCTTGTCATCGTTGCAACCGCAGCTGCAACGGCCGAACCTGGAAGTGTCGCCGATGGAAGTGCCGTCAAATGCCACTTCAGGAAACCAGAAATTTGCTTTCACGCTGTGCCCCGAGGTTTGCATTATAAGCACCCAAAGCGTTTGCCTAGCTTCAACTGCAAACACACAGCACAACTCAAAGCACCACACATTAACTGTCTTTGCCGGGAACAGTTTCCCCTTTCATGGCAAAACATCGTGAGGAGAACACACAAGCGACAAGATGAGACGTTCCAAAAATCGACTCGGATCGGACGAAACAGGAAATAAACCAACCGTCCCACACCGTGAAGAGAGCAGGTACAAACAACGCAGTTTGCTAACTAATGACAGGAATCAAAGACGACGAAAATCAAGAGGGACCAAGTCACGAAAGCTAGCGTCAGCTAGCTGGAGTCTTCTTGCTTTAGCAAGTATTGGGGGGGGCTGCTCAAGGACATCACGTGATTTTTCACGTGAAAGGGGGGGCCCCCCCACCACCACCACCACCACCACCATCATCATCATCATCAGCCTCATCGTCATCGTCATCGTCATCATCATCGTCATCGTCCTCGCCATCGTCCTCGTCATCGTCATCATCATCATCATCATCATAATCATAATCATCATCATCATCATCATCATCATCATCATCATCATCATCATCATCATCATCATCATCATCATCATCATCGCCACCACCACTATCATCATCATCCATCATCATCATCATCATCATCGTCATCATCATCGTCATCATCATCGTCCTCGCCATCGTCCTCGTCATCATCATCATCATCATCATCATCATCATCATCATCATCATCATCATCATCATTCAATTCGTTATTCAATTACAATTTATCATTATTGGCAATTATTGGCATTATCACGAAAGCTAGCGTCAGCTCGCTAGAGTCTTCTTGCTTTAGCAAGTATTCCGGGGCTCCCCAAGGACATCACGTGATTTTTCACGCGTAAGGCCCCCCCCCTGCCCCCTTTCCCATATATATCATTGTTATATATCATATATCATATATCATATATCATATATCATTGTTGCATCCTCGTTGGGACGAACAATGCCGCGACACGATGATGACAGTCCCTCCGCAACTCACCTCTTCCCTTCCTTCTTTCTCCTACCCCGCTAGCTTTCGTCATCCACCCCCGGCCTCAAGTTACATACTGCACTGCAGCTTATATGCGCCCAAAAGCGACACGAACAGGTGCGTTTAGGAAAAACAATGAAAAATATGGAAACATGTAGTCTAGTGTCTCTGGAGGCAATTGCGCAAGTCTACCCAACGTCCTGTGGTTGGTGGTTGATGATGATATATGATGATGATAGATGATGCTTCATGAAAATTTGCTGTTTCTACTTCTGTTGATAAGGGTTCAAGATGGTTCAAGCCGTATCAGCTCGTGAAAAGTCGTATCGGGAGTCCTTGCGCCTGCCGGATTCAAACATCCCAACGGTTCGAATGGTTCGATTTCAATACAAACTGCTTAGAGCATTGTGACGCTGCTCATATCTGCTAATCTGCTTATGTTATTTCTCCAAAGGCGTTGTCCGCATGCTTCTGGGTGAAGGCAACAGCATAACAGAGGTTGAACCAGCAACCAGCACGGCAACTCTTGCGTTCGAACCGGCTCGGCGAAACTGATTTTCCATCGCGGCGACCGTCACGCACATCACGGGCATGTATATCCACAAAAAATGCAATCAAAAAAATGATTCTCGCAATCAAAAGAATATAGTCTCAGAATCAAAAAATAGTACTCTGCAGGAAGGAAAGAAGGAACTAATCAACAACCGAAGAGTGGAAGGTGGAAGCGCTCTGCAAAAGCAAAAACGCGAAGAAACAAAGTCCCACGGTTCCTTTATATGTGCAATGATCAAAAGACGCCATGAAAGGCTTCAATTACGATTCGCCATCACTACTCAAAACATGTGATTTACTGTGTGTAGCGATAGGGGGCCTTGTGTAGCGATACCTTTTTTCAGACTTTGTTTATGATTGAACCTTCCTGTTGGGCGCATGACTTTCCAATCTTTTGATGTCAGAGTGCGACACTGGAGCAGTCGCAGTGGGCTGGTCTTCCGGGGTAGTTGCAAGATGGCCTGACGTCAAGTATATATTAATGAGATAGTTACATTAAACAATGTTGATCTATAATAAGGTATGCAAGAAACTAATTCATAACGCATCATGAGCTTGATGATGGTGATGATGCTGATGATGATGGTGATGGTGATGATGTTGATTCAGATAGTGACCGTGCTGAGATATGTTGAAAAAACATCCTTGTGCGGTCACGGACGCTTCTCCAAAGCCACTGTCCAGGAGTAGAATTGCAACATGGAGTTTGTCAGAATCTTGTGTCACTTGAAACATACCCCCTGAGATCACACATTTTCTGGTCCCCGTAGCGATGCCCGAAGCGACACCCCTCGATACCCAGAGCGATACCTGAAATCCATGAAATTAGGGAGTACCCCACATGGTCACTTGAAACTATACAATTTGTGCTATAGGTGGAAAAATATGGGAAGTATGAACTCCTTGGGTGGACAAACACTCAGCATCGTTTTGGCAAAATTCCATGTCAACAAAAACAGAACAACTCCATATCGAATAATCTCAAGTGCCGGGTGCGCAGGCGAACTGATTCCGTTGGGAGAAACAGCGATGGCAAAGTTTCCTAGAACAGCTCGCGAAAAGTC